CTTTCTGGGTCTTTGCCCTTCACACGGATGGGCCCCGCAATGTCGGCTGACATGCAATACACATCCGGGTGAACTACACCGTGGTGGCGGCGGCCGTTTCCGGCACCGTGCACGCAAACTGCACAATCACGGCGGTACGGCACGTGATTGTTCGCAACATGCTGTTCCCAATCCGCTTGGGTGAATTTCATGATGCGGTAACAGGGCCAACGTTGGAGTGCGTACACGATGGCTTGCACAAACCCCGGCGCCCACACTGGAGACACACGGCTGTCGGCGCTACCACAAACCTGCGATACCTCACCCTGAAACGCTTGCAAGTCTCTAAGGTCGGGCAAGTTGGTGCCAACAGTTGTGGGTTTATCGCCCGCGTGCCCCAACGGACCTTGACGGAAATGCACCTCAAACAAACCAGCCTCTTCAGCGTAAGTTTGCCACAGCGCGGTATTCCAAAACGACGGGGCGCTACCCACAGCAGAATGGCTTGAAGCCATGTGGTGTTCACCCGACGGTTGCTCCAACATGAATGCCACCATGGATGTTCCATCCGACGGGTTAGGGTGCACACGCCTCCCGGCGGTGGAAAGTGCATGCAACCACAACATGCGAGCATACAAACCCGTATCACGATCAACGAGATCACGCTCGTCAGAGGTGAGAGTGCTCAGGCCAAACGGTTCAGTGGGCGAGCGGAGTGGATGTGGTCCATCGGCGCGGTGCCCTGACATGGACCACGTGCGGGTTGGTGGACCTCCAATGACCGCCGCAACTCGTCCCAACTTTGCAACCTTAGCAAGAAGCGTCCAAAGCGGATCATGGTAAAGATCTTGGCTCCTTGAGCGGCAAATGTCAAGCTCAACAACAACTGTATCCTGCGACTCCAATCGTTTGAAAGCCTTGTGCGAGCCAGGGCCCGCAAACAAGTGAACAACCCAATTGGATGCTCGATGAAGTGCCTTCCTCCTTCGCCGGTTGAGGTTTGGCATACCTTCTTCAAGAGCTTTCCACAAAGTCTTGGAGTCCACATCTTCCGATGGGAGTAGGCCTGACAATGCACGATCGGGCACATCCTGAAAGAATGGCGCCGTGGATACTGCCATGTGGCCCGCTGCTGGCGCTGACGAGCTAACATGCTCCACCAAATGATCCCACCATGTGCGCTGCATCGCGATTTTCGCCTGTCTGATGCGATCCTTCCCCTCATCCGTTCTTCGCCTGAGCTCCTCAACCTGTTGCATTTTGTGTTCCTCCAACCGTGATATCAGCGTAAGGGCCTGGCTCTCTACCAATTCCGGGCAACCATTTTTGACCCTAAGCCTCAACGACTTACCATCGGGAGGATACAGCTTGCAACTACCGGCTGACCAAACCAGTTTATACCCAAGTTGCTCGATGATTGCGCCCATTGGGACTATTGGCTGCACTAGGCCATCCCTCCCGGGAGGCAGGAGCAAAGTACCTGAGGATGTGAGCCGCATTGTTGTGGTGGTATCGCCGGCTAGGCTCACCTGTACTTCCGATGCGGCCTCCCACTCCTCCTCATCCATGGCCTGCCTCATGGCATGGGTGGCCCCAGAGTCCAAAAGCGCATATGCTATGGGTTTGGGGGCCTCAAGCAACCCCCCATTCTCGGCTCGAGAATGGGGGTTTGCCAAACCCTGATTTTTCGCATTTCCCAACCCGCGAGTTGGAGCCTCCTGATGGGGGGGTTGGAAGTCCCGGTTTGGGAGACCCGAAACCGGGAAACAGCTTGCGGGCACGACTGAGCGAATCGTGAGCCTCTTCACCGAAGGATTGGGTGCAGACGATGCGGGCGCAGCCGGTGCCGGTGGCACTGAGGGCTGCTGCGATGCAGTACTCAAGCCTTCCGGCTGAGGTTGAGGCGGCTGGGCTTGCGGCGTGGTGCCGCTGCACGGTGGATTGGCCTCCAACTGCCGCAAAGCCTGGACTGCCTGTTGCATGAAGGTTTCCATGTTGAGCACTGGCGTGGCTTGGACAACGGGTTGGCCCGAGGATGTGGGGGATGAGGCTGCCTGTACGGAAGGTTTTTGATCCGGTGCTTTGGGTTCCGCCTTACCGGCCTTGCAATCCTTAGCGCGATGCTCCTCGGAACCACAATTCAAGCACTTCTTAAACCGTTCCGCCTTAGACAACTCGTTCATGGAGTGTTGGCTTTTGCACTTGGACCCAAACCTACACCCCTTCGGCGAAAGGAAATACTTGCATGTGTTGGCATTCCCTCCACCTTTGCCTCCACTCCCCTTTCCCGGCTTATCCCCAGCAACACCAGCTGCCTTCAATGCCAGGTTACCTGATCCACCCTTTTTGGCAACATGAGCTCCAGCCAAAGTCTCAAACTCGGCCAACAAATGTTTGTGGTAGGATTTGACCGCCTCTTCCGAGGGTCGACCATGCAACTGCAGTGCACTTTTCACCATCTCGGTTCGCCATGAAACCTCCGGCTCCTTAGAGATGACGGGCTTTGTCATTGAGGTTAGGCCTCCCACCAACACCATTGGATCCGGCAAACTCATACCAAAGTCTATGCACCTTTGATACCAGCGTCCCCACGCCCTCAATGCTGACACACCTGAGGCTGCATCCTGCACCACATGGGGATTTTGCAAGTTGCTCAACACCAGGTTGCGTTCCCCTATTCCCCCGGGCTGGTAGGTCGTGTACAATCTAAACAAGATTTGCGATGCAGCTTGATTCGCCTTACGGGCAATGATATCAGATTTCACTGTGGGGTCCAGGGCATCCAAAAGCATTGCGCATGCACGCGCATTCACTCGCCCCCACTTGCCTTCTGTAAGCTCTGGCCTCTCGTCAGGCTCAAGCGTCAAGCGCTCGATGGGGGATGCGACGACCCACTTATCGTACGCATCTTTGCTTACCTGAACTACCCCTGACCACCAAAGTTGAGAAGAATCCGAAAAGTCACTCATCAAGCCCGCAATGAGCTGCAACCAATCCTGAAAGTCCAACGAGCCTCCAGCTGGATCGGGTGGGGCTAGTCTGGGAAAGGTTGTAATGCCCGTTTTCACCGTTTCCGGGGCATCCTCCTTCCTGCTACTGCTAAGGTGCTGGGCTTGCAAAGTTTGCAGTTGCTGCACTCCCAACAATACGGCATCAAGTACGGTGTTACCTGATGTGGGAGGGCCTTGGGTTCCCCCCGGCGACACACTGGCTGCTCCTACTGGCGCCGTGCTGGCCTGAGCAGCTGAAGCCTGGGGAATTGGGGCACTAGCGGCAGCAACTGACTGGAAACCAGAGCCCGAAGCCCTGATCTGGCCCAAACCCGGGTTTTCGGCTCGAGAATGGGGGTCTGGGCCAGAAGAGGTGGAATCCCCTTGCACACCCGATAATGCGCTGCTTGGCTGCCCAACCCTTCCGGGTGGCGCTGCATTGCTAGGTAACCTTTGGGAACCTTGCAACCCCGACCAAAAGTTGGACCATAACCCTGAAGTTGCTGAAGCTGCTGTTTGAGCGGGCGCTCTCAAAGCCTCAACCGCCTGCGCTGCAGCATCATGCACCTGATACACTATTGGAGTGCGCACTTGCGCATCCTGAAGGGGTGGCCTGGGAACCTCAGCAAGGGGTGTCGTTGGAGCCATTGGGGCACTACTGGTCATTGCCACTTCTCTCCTTACCTGTTCCCTAAGAGCTTGTTCCCTTTGGGCCGCCTCCTCCAGTTGCCTCCGCATCCTCTGTATTTCCAAGTCCTGAGCCTGCGCCCGTTGATCAAACCCCGCTAGCTGCCTTGCAACCTCAGCTTGAATCGCTTCTTGGGGCAGGGACGATGAGTCTGTTCTCGATGGGGGTTTTTCGGGCAGGCTACCGTAAAGTAAGGGGGCCCTCTGTTCTAAAGCCTGCATGCGCTGCAACATGTCCGCGCTCAACAAGGAGCCATCCCTTCCAGGAGGCGGTGCAAAGGAAGTGGGTGTACCATGCGCTCCCAACTGTGGTGGCGAGCTACTCTGCGAACCCAAACTCCCTTCTCCCAGAGCCAATTGCCTTGGAACACCGCTGGGACTATCACGTGATTGTGATGTGATTGCTCGTGGTGGTGTGGCGTGTGTGCCTTGCGCCACTGCGGGTACCTGCACCACCTCAGTGCGCGCTACACGGAAAAAGTCCCCAACTCGCGTCATAAGCTGGAGCCCTGTACTAGGGAAGCCCTCAACCATCTCAGCTATGGTTGGCAATCCCTGTTGCGATCGTGGGGTCACAAACCCCTCCGTGGAAGCACCAGCGACTACTCTACCCCCTGGCTCTGCGTCACCACTCGCGGTACCTAACATGCCAGTGCTGGCCTCTAGCCCTGGGCTCCCGCCCGGCGCGACATTGCCGGGTATCGGCACAACCATCTGTACCTCATCACCGCCTTCAGTGGCGGTCGACACCTGTGGCATTCCCCCTGAGTCTGCGCAAACCCCAGTCTGGTCTATGCCTCCAAGTGCCCCTCCCGTAGCCATAGGTTCAAAGCCCATTCCACCTGTTTGGCCATGCACAAGTGTTGGCGTTGAACCTGTCTGAATACCATCCCTCCCGGGAGGTGGGGATGGATTTGCTGTGGTGCCATAGCCCTGCCCAAGCGTTGGGCTCATAACCTGCTGGAGCGAACCAGCAGGCTGAGAGGTAGACACAAGTGGAGTAGCTAATTCCCTTGTCCCATACTCCCCAGAACCCGCCATGGCTCACTCAGTAGGCGGAGATTTTACACGCAAGCGAACAAGAAAGGAAACGTGAAGTCTGTGCTACCTTGGACATGGCACCTACAACTATGGTACATGTGTTTTGTTTAAAAGCATGCTCAAGGCTCAAACTGTGCATAGCCTAAAGAGCGACGGAAAAATGAACATGTACAACTGGCATGAGCTGCAAAGGTGGCATGCACTTCAGCAATAATGGTGATAATAGTAATAGTAGTATGATTATTAATAATAGTAATGCTTCTTGTGGCTGCCACGGGCAACATGGAGCGCTGAGCCGCAGGCCCTGATGTCAACGACGTAACCAAGGTGCCCCTCCGGGATGTCCTACAGACGCGGAGCAAAAACGCCCGGGTTTGCTCCCAGAGACTCCAATATCCCTTAATTAAGGAATATACCTTAAATTATAGTAGGATCCAATATTCCTTAAAGTATGCTTATGGGGTTTTAAGTAAGTATAAGTATAGTTACCTTAGTAATAACCCTAGTTACTAAGTCCCATGATCCTTTTGCACAAGAAAAGGCCGCCAGGATCAGGTCGGCCCGGGGGCCCGGGTCTTGGGCATGCTCTGAAAACCTCTAGGGTTTGGTTTAGGGGTTTAGGGGTTTAGGGTTTAGGGGTTTAGGGTTTAGGGTTTAAGGGTTTAAGGTTTAAGGGTTTAGGGTTTAGGGTTTAGGGTTTAAGGGTTTAAGGTTTAAGGGTTTAGGGTTTAGGGGTTTAGGGGTTTAGGGTAGGTTTAGGGTTTTCCCTAAGTGAAATTCCGTCCTCATCGCTCTTGGTCCAGGTCACGAAGGAACCTCGCTGCATCTCGTGGCAGATCAGGTCCTTGGAGGAGCAGCGTTGGCACTTCGACAGGGTCACTTAAAGGATCATGGGACTTAGTAGCTAGAGTTATGAGTAGGGTAACTATACTTGTAATTACTTATAACTTATAACCCCAATTAAGGTACTTACAACCATACTTACTAAGTCCCATGATCCTTCAAGCAGAGCCTCTTCCGAAGGTCTCTTCGGGACAAGCGGCAGAGAGCTTGAAGTTGCCTTCGCCTGTGGCGAACTGCACCTTCAGCTGATGCAATTCAGTTTGGGCGCTTGCAGCTTCCAGCCTGCATGGATTGGGCTCTACTTGTTGGACCTACTGTGTGGGTTGAAGTCATTCAGGAAGAGCCATCTCTGCGATTGTTGCCGACTGCAATCAGCCAACTGCACCTTCAGCTTCCCATCCTCGAGTCCACCCACTATCTGGCCAAGCTCAACTTCCTCGCTGTCGTCGCTCGGGCTCTTGCGGCAAACGTAGTTTCCGGCTTGGATGTCCGCTCGGATTAGGTCCATGGCTGGGAGCCAGGAAATGCCCCTGGGAAATGCCACCTGAATTCTGCACAAGTCATCAGAAGATACGTAAAAACTCGACGAGCTCATACTTGAAAAAAGCCAGAAGCATGTGTGGGGGGCATCTTTTGTTACTCGTAGACCCATAATAGAACCCGAAACATACACTCACCAATATTTAAGGGGAGTCCTAGCTACACTCACCAAATCAGCAATATAAACCCTACTTCATGTGCCCCTTCGGCCGCTGCCTTGACCTTGCCCTCGTCATTCACCTCCGGGAGGACCTCTCCCACTTGGCCCCGCGCTACATCGGCGTTTGCCTGGGACCAAAAGACGTACATGCCCGGCTGAATGTCGCACCTGATGAAGCGGTCCGGTTTCTCTTTACGCTCTTCGCCCTTCACGGCGACATTCAGCAGATTTCCTTCTTCCAGGCCCTGGATGATGCCGAGCTCGTCATCGTCAACTGCGTGGACGAATGTGCCCTTCTGGAAATCGGACACATTCAGCTTGCTTGCGAGGAGAGAGAACTTGTATGACGAAGGGAATTCGACAATCCGCTTCTGGCTGGCCGATAAAACTTCGACCACTACTCCAAGCTCACCTCGCGGCATGTCTTCGTCCACATCCATGCTGTAAACCTCGCAGCCCATGAAACCCCTGCTTTGAGAAGTCCCGAATTACGACGGAGAAAGAGTCACACCGAAAACTTGCTTGCAGGGGGTGCTGCAGTCAGCAGACAAGACATAGTACGATAGGCAGGCCATGTGGGGCGAGGCCACGTGGGCTCTGAAGCCAAGGTCGTAATCGTAGCTGCATACGGACTGACGGACAAACAAACAGACACAGAGACCGAGGGACAAACACAGCGACAGACAGAGGGGAGACGGAGAGAGAGAGAGACAGAGAGAGAGAGACATTGTGAGACGCACACGCAGAGACTGACAAACAGAAACACTGGCAGGCAGGCAAGCAAACAACAAGGCACAAGGAAATACAATCGAAGCATCGCCGACGCACCTTCCTGTGCATGCTTCGTGGTAGTCTGGGGCAGTCTGGGGATGAGCGTGCCGCTCAAGGATCGCTCCCAGCGACCTTTTGAATTCTGCCACAGGACCCGTCCGACTTAGAATACCATAAATACCCGTGTTTTCGAGTGTATTGTGCCAAACATCAGGCTGTCTGCTACTGTATGCTTGGGGAAATCGAAACACATTCCCGTGTCGAATGGAGCAAGACGCTGAGTTTTTCGTTTTCGAACATGGTTGCAACCTGCCCCCCTAAGTGCACGGAGAAGGAACGTGAATCCGCCACCTGTCTGGACATGGTTCTGTCGCGAATCAGCCGTTCGGTTGGCTATGCTTTCCGTGGTGGTGTCTGCGCGATGTGTCTTCAAAGCCTTAAGCCCAGGGCCACAGGACCGCCCCGAGAAAGGGCCAGGCATCCCTGACTAAGAGGCCCCTTCAATTCGCCAAGCTTGATCCCGAGCCACATAGCTCCCCACGGTGATTTCATCCGTGTCATCAGACTCGCGATCTGCAGGCATGGCTTGCGACGCTGAGGGGCTCTGGATGGCCAGGCTTCAAAACATAACTCGAGAACTCGAGTCTCTGAGCCACAAAGATGGTGATGTTACACGGACGTGCAGAATGATGTACATAACAAGTTGGCTGCTGCTTCATTGGGAGCATGTCTTCCTGAGAACCCTGGCGCAAGCGAGCCGAAAGCGATGGGCCAGAACTTGCCCGCAGCACCCTAACACTCACAGTCACTCACAATGACACTAGAACTACAAGTGATGAGCACATGCGCAACGATCTTTTGCAGAAAACATTCGACGACGGCTTTTGCCAACACGCAAGCAGCGTTGGCTGCTACAGCCCGAACGCCAAGCTGACGTTCGAAACTTCGAAACCGCCCGCAAGTGGACCTGAGAGCAAGCGCCTTACACATGTCGAGACGTGAAAATGAAAAAAAACATCACACCAAGAATTCCAGGTCACAACTTCCATGAAACGCAGGCTGAAGTTAGTCATCTGCCATGCTGGCGGTGTCCTACAGTCGCACCGTCACCCGAACAGACGTCCCGTTTCAATCACCTCACACGCACAGCCACTCCGCACACGCTGTCTGCCCACTGTCTGGGATTCATGCATAATGTCGCCTCAGACGAGATGTCACACCCCTGCCACGTGTTTGTCATAAAAGAACGAGGCAGCGGAAGCCGCACTTTGCGTCCAACTCTTCCGGTACTGATAGATGGATAAGAACTTCCAGAATAAAACGCGGGCACTTGACGCGCGATAGCCCCGCCAGAGACAAGCATCACCAATGCACACAACGCATGGGTCACCTCAGCACACGACAAATAACAAGGCAAGAACTTGACATGACATTTGGGGCCGAACAGTGGTTGCTTGAGAAACCTGGAAACAGTCCGACATGGGGCTGGAGGTAAGCTTAGCAGGAAACGTTCCACCTCCCAGACATGGCGCGTGCCTCAGCAAGTGCAAGAACGACGTTCGTTATGTTGGAGTAGCACCCCATGCTCCGATTTGAGGTGGGCCAGATTCTTGATGTACCTTACTAAATGTTAGTTGCTGGCAAAATAGAAATGTTGTCAATGTCGCTTGGCTGTGCGCAGGAAAAATCCGGCGCATGGTCGATTCCGTGGAACAGAGGGGGGCCACTCAAGCGAAGCCAAAATTGCTTAGATTATTCGACCCCACATTTGGAGCCGCGTGTGCTGCAGTTGGTTCGCACCCAAAGTGGGCGTCGGCGGCACTGGAAGCTGAACAGGCGTTCCAGACGCAGCAGCTGGAACACTTCCATCGCTTGCACTGAGGCACTTGCAGGTGCAATCTGGGCTGCTGGCTGAGCTGTAAGTGCAGTCTGGGCTGCTTGCTGAGCTGTGGCGAACCGACAGGACCAACAGAGCCAAAAGCAGAGTCGCAACTCAGCGTCCTGGGCTGCAACTGGCATTCAGCTGTTTGTGATCAAGCAAAACACTTCCAAGCAAAAACGAAACGAAACGAGTGCAGTCATTGACCCAACTTAACAGCTCCTCGCAGCTTCGAACATGCCAAAACATCAGGACATCCAAGATTACAGGATTTTCACAGCGTCTGTCGTGCAGGATCCTACTTGTCCGCATGTTTCCAGAATTGTTAAAGAACGGGCTTCACTACGGTTCCTACTCTCAAACTGAAGTGGTCACTTTTCCTTGTGGGTCGCTGTGTCCGCTGGGTCTCGAGCCTGTACGCCGCAAGAGCGTAACTGGCTGTTCCTATGCATTAGCACTTTAGCTGGACAGATCAAGAGCCGAGGGGGTCTAATCCTAATCCGTAATCCGGCTAATCCGCGTGATTAGCCGAATCCTTGTAATCTATGATATGGTCGTAATCCATGCTGTAGAAAGCCAGCAAATCAAGATACATTTTTTCTCCCTGGCATTTCATGCAGCTCGGTCGTCAGCGGCCGGTCGGCGAGGCCTCAAATAGGAGACCGGAGACTGGACTTGGGTGATGATTCCGTGTTGAGGGTGTAGGCAGTTGAGATGTAATTGGGTTCAGGGCTTGGGGATAGAAGGATGTGGGGGTTAGGTTTTATTTAATTTAAGATCTGTGGCTATGTGGGTTCTAAGTAAGGGTCTTTTCTGCTTTAGTTTGACGCCCAATACCCCTTAATTTAAGGAATATGGGAAGATGGTTTAAAATACATAGGGCTGCATATTCTGATGTTAGTAAGCTATATTCCTTAATTAATTAAGGGGTATTGGGCTCTCTTGGAACGAGGCTTGCCAGACACTGCTGAGGCAGTCGCGTTTAGGATCTTGAGGGTTTCGGGGTTTGGGGTTTAGGGTTTCAAAGTTAGGGGTGTTAGGGATCTCCCAGCTCCTTCGGGGACACTAGCTTGTTACTGTTGGAGTCGCGGATTTCTCAACGCCCACTGATTTTTGACATCGCAGGGACAAGCGGTCGCCCGGCGAATAGATTTCGCCCCAGGCTTGTCATGGATCCCTTCATAAAGAAGAGCATCATAGCTCGCTAACGCCGCTGGAAAATTAATCCAAGTCGTGAAGGTCGAGGACTGGCGTCGCATCACATCCTGAAGTTGGGGCCCGCATGTCAACTGGAGCACCACTCGCGAGCACATGTGTCGAAACCTTACCGGACTGCACGTCCAGCTCATAGTTCATCGGAGCAGCTAGAATGGAGTCTGGCTGAGGAAAGTGCAATACCGCAGAACTCGGATGGCCACCAATCGTCGATTGTGAACCCATAGATTCCGACGCACCCTCTTGGCTAGCTGCTGGCCCATCTGTGCCCACCACACCACTGACTCGACACCCCACAAAAGGCAACCCATTCTCAACAGATCCAAGGTTCGTAGTGCTTCGGTGCAGTGAGCGCTGTAGATGCCGGCACCGTCTCGCGTGCACATGCCCGAACGTCAGGCGACAATCCTTGCAGCAGTGCCTGTGCCCTGGGCTCACATGCGGGACGTTGCAGCCAGTTGTCTGACAGGCAAAGAGGCGAAGCACTGGCATCGATCCCTGGGGGACCGAAGCATCAGCATGCACTATGCCTGCCGAAAATGCCATGGACGACCTTTGGTTGAGGGGCACTTTCAAATTTCATGGGCTTGACAGAAGTAGCGGCTTCGCGCTGACACGCATTGTTTTGACATGCGACGCATATCTGCAAGTAGTAGTAGTAGTAGTAGTAGTAGTAGTAGTAGTAGTAGTAGTAGTAGTAGTAGTAGTAGTAGTAGTAGTAGTAGTAGTAGTAGTAGTAGTAGTAGTACTAGTAGTAGTACTAGTAGTAGTATTACTTCCTGAGAAGCATGTTGGGGTCCCTAGAACAAGGATCCGACTATTCAGGGTATCATCTCGACGACAAGACTTTAATAAACCCTAGTAGCCTAGGCCTGACTTAAATGAGAACTTACCTTCAATCAATTCCTTAGTCGCAAGAGTTCTGTGTAGACACTCCACACTCGGTGCCGGGCACAAAAGTTCGCTGGCGCAGCCTGTTTGTGTGCAATGGGAGTTTCGATGACAGATCTACACCATTTCGGGGGCATTCTTTTGGTCTGGGTGCTTGAGTGAGGCTACCCCGCAGCGTGTTTGTGCATCCAGAACAGACTGCAAGTGCGAAGCTTCACTCAGCATGCTTTCCATCGCGCCTTGAGACCATGGCCTGCCGCATGTTGCCCGGCTTCGAGAAACAGGCCTGGGGTCGATCAGTTTTATTGAAGGTTTGGGCTTTCAGGGTGGAGCGCTACGACTGCTGAGACTTGAAGCATCGCATGCACAGCACGGACTTTTAAGCTGCTCTGTGAAAGCGGCTCTGCCCTTCCGAAGTTTTCGCACAGGTCTACACTGAGCTTCTCCAGGTGCCCAGCAGCGGCTTGAACGTGTCTCAGATTCAACGCCTTCTCGCCAGTGGTTCGCTCTGGCGAGTCTGTGGATTCCTCCCAGTGGCATCAGGCCGTGGCGGCGGCGGGGGTGGCCACCACGACGACGAGCTTCTGGAGGAGCTGCTGCATGAAGACTTCGTGACCCACTTCCACTTCACGAACCTCTTGCACTTGGAGACGTTGCTGGGCTTGTACTTCTGGGCGTCGGAGACATTGGCAGACTTGTACTTCTGGGCCTCGGTGTGCTTGTTTTTGGTCTTGGAGACGCTGCTGGACTTGTACCTCGGGGCATCGGAGACGTTGGCGGACTCGTACTTCTGGGCCTCGGAGGCCTCTGAGACCTTCGTGGACTTCAACTTGTGGGTCTTGGACACATAGGCGGACTTGAACTTATGGGCCTTGGACACATAGGTGGACTCTCGCTTCCTCGAGCTCGAGCGGAACCATCTTTTTGGGCGATTCGCCCATGCCTCGGTGTCACTTTCGTCGTCCATCTTTTCTTCCGCCCATGTTTCGTTGTTTCTTTCGTTGTCCATGTTTTTGTTTCGCGATAGGAACTTCGGTTGTCCGAAGAAGCCTGCAGGGAAGTCCTCATCCTCCTGCCCCGGCCAGGGTACATCGTCCATGGCTGTGAAGCAGCTATGTGCTATGTTGGAAGTGAAGTGCGGCGTGAAAATATAAATCGCTGGGATCAACCCTGTGAGCCTGAGAGGCAGCGTGGAAAGGCCAACCTCTTCTATACTCCCAGCAAAGTAAACATGAAAAAACACACTGCAGCATGTCTGGCTTTGTCGTCCTTGAGGCCCGAGCCTGCCGATGAGAACCAGGAAGAAGCAATGCGGCGTGGGCCTCAGGTGGAACAGTTCAATCTTTACTGCAGCCTGCCACTACCCAGAGTGCAGGGTTTCTGCATGTTTCGGAGTTGTGGGGTTTGAGTGCGCTCTTAGGATTCGGTAGAAACTGGTACTGTTGTCCGGTATGCTAGCGAGTCAGCCAAGGCTCTTCTGCCCCTCTTGGAGCAGGTGGGCGTTCAGCCCCACATGGGAGCACCCCTTCAGCATCTAAACAACTGTATGTAAAGAAAGAGGCTCAAGAGGCAGCAAGCCGGCAGCGATACCGAACCCTCCCCCCTTGGCTCCCCGGCAGCAGCTTCGGTTGCATCTGCAGTCTCCTGGAGGTTCGAAGGTTTGTGACTCTGGTGTTTCGGTCCCTCCAAGCTAGAAGGGCATATGCATAATAATAAGATAAAATTATGCAAGGGGCCGACTTGCAGGTTCTTACAGTCCCCTACAGGAGCCACGACTCGAGACATTTTCAATGCGCTACCCACAAGAGCGACAATCGAACCCCAAACCTACAACCCTCAATCTCAAAGGCAACACCGCTCAAAACACCAGAGTCCAAAAGGCCCGGAAGACCCTCGAAAATCCAACTTGTTTTGGCTTGGGTGTCGGCAACGCAGGTTCGGGGCATCAAACTGCTTGAACGGGGTCTTTTTTCCGGAGCGACTTGTCCCCTAGTTGCACCACTAGGACCAGCGTCCATCACCAGAGGCATTTGCTTCCAGTGCCCCTGACCAACTTGAGTGAGCTGGATTTTCAATTTTCGAACGTGACACATTTGCATGCTGCAGCACTTTAAGCTAGAGAGTAAGTCATGCCCTGACTCGACTCGGCTCAGTCAAGTTGGACAACCCCAGCAGCAGCTGCCCTTTCCCCAGGGCAGTGCAGCTGATCTGGTCAGTCTGAAGTGCTTTCCAGCCTGCTTGATCAGCGATTAATTTGGCCTCACGCCACTAAGAAGTCACAGACCTCTTCTGCTCGAACTGGTCTCGACTCGTCGTCGCTAACAGCAGGTGATCCTGAGTTGACCCATGGACTTTGTCCGAAGCCCAATGACAAGACGAGTATGTCTGAAACGACAAGCGTAGGCCAAAAAACGAAGCATCATGGAATCAAGCGGCCGGTGATATCGACCTCGATGACCTGGCGGTTGTTCCCAGCGATGCGCTTTCGGGCTCGCTGTGGCATGGAGCCAGGGCCTGTGGCGTGGCCTTTGCGTGCAGCGATCGAGTTAGGCTTCCTGCCGCACGCCGCCAGCCAATCCAAGGCCACGCTTTCCAAAAAGCCACTGAGACGCCGCCCTGGTACTTTTCGTATGTCAGGGCAGCAAAGTCTTAGTCTGGCACGCTGGTCTGTGGTCTCGTCTCCTAGCTGCCCAGCGGTCTTCTCCCGGATCTTTCTCCTAAGTCTTGCTGAAGGCGGAGAGACCGCCATAACCGTGAACATGTCATGATGCGAGCTAAAACATGGACCGCTTCCAGAATCAAGGAGTCTCTGGAACGCGTTTTCGTTCATTCGCTGGACCAAAATGGCATTGAAGATCCCTTAAATTCAACCCGATCTTTTTAAGGAGGGACCCCTCTACTAGAAGAGACCTCCTAGCCTAGTATACGTCGTCTCATAAGCCCCTGAGGTTGAGGAGGGACCCCCAGAACCCGAAGCTAAGCTTGACTAAGCCTCCTTGTCATGCAATGTCAATGTTTATCGGAAGAGCAACCCAGAATTTAAACCTCAGAATGCCCAGTTGTCAATGCATGGCTTTCAAGTGGCAGCAACCCGAGTCGGTGAAATGAACAGTACAGAATGTTTGTTTTCTGAAATTTCTTGCGAGTTTCAGAATAGCCAGGTCCCGCTCGACCTCGCAATTTTGATAACTCAGCAGGATGAGCGAGCTGACCACCCTGAAAGCTTCAGGCAGGCTCTCCTCGCAAGCAAGGTTACAGACACGGAATCAGGCAAACAATGCTGTTTGGTACTACTTCCTTAACCAAACGCGTCACGTTGTTCCATCAAGGCGAGCATGCCTAAGAAGAACTTATGAGAAAGAAGTGTGAATAGAGCGGGAAAACCTAATTAACTTATCAACTATGAATGTCAGTCAACACCACAGAATGCTCCTTGACTTGTTGAAGGATTGGAGGCCAAAACTGATGAGGCTTCATTGTGCGCACCTCCGGGTTCGCAGCAAAATAGCGGTCCTTGACTTTGAGAAGGTGCTTCCACTGCGAAAGTAATTCGCCTTCAGCCATAGCAAAGTGCTTGGCAAAAGCTTCCACTGCAGTTGCAAGCGGGGTCGGCTCGTTCGCTGCTTCGGCGGCTTCCCGCTGTGGTGCTTCTGCTTGGCCATCTCGGGGCGGGCGGTATGTCGGGTGCAGTACAGCCACAAACTTACTGATGCCCACGTTGCGAAACCTCATCCGCAGATCCTCCAGGACCAACTTTTCGAGATCCTGGCTGGTGTCTTAGTCTTAAGTATTGGGAGGATTCAGGGAAGCTTCCGACTGGAGAGTGCACTGTCTGAAACTCAATTTACATGTTCTAACTGAACTCGCACTTGGATTCGCATGAACTGTATGTTGGTGCCGGGGAAGAAGTTGAGCTTGGCCCCCGCTAGACTAGACCCTATTAATTCCTCACCCACAACCACATCTTGTTTGTCAGGCAGCCTTGGCAACGGCAACCACCTCATTCAAGGTCTCGTTGTTCAGTCTCAACTCCAACTCCGGTTCATGGTCCCCCACATAGTACTTTGCGCTCAGGATCTGGCCACCAGCAGTCTGCTTCACATGCATCTGCCGGCAAAGTTCTTCCAGCAAAGTGGCCTGGCAAAGCAGAGAAATCATTGTCAAAGGACAAGAGGACAGGTAACCTCTAGTGCAAAACACCGTCCCGTGCCATTTAGACACAAGTCTCGACTGGAACTGACTGACTCAATCTACTACTGCTTTCTTGCCCAGCGGCAGCCTGGCGAGGAGCAGTGTATGGCTGAAACAGCTGCTTCAAGCCAGATGCCAGGCCACCATTGCCCTGGCGCATGTAAGCCTGCACATCCTTGATGCACAGCTCGACATGGGACTCCAGATCGAGCACCCTCAAGCTGCTGCGCTGGGACTGCACGTTGAGCTTCCGCAAGAATGACAGAAGATCTGCAGCCACGGCCAGCACCAACCAAACCTTCACGGTCCGCACATCTGCCTTGATGTGTCTCGCCCAGGCTGCTTGGTTTTGATCCCTGGAGTCCTCGGCTGGGGACGTGCTGTGGATGACAGTCATTTTCATTTGAAGGGGTAGGGTTTTGCAGGGTTTGTAGGGTTTCTCGGTCTTCTTGGGTTTCTTGGGTTTCTTGGGGTTTGCAGGGTTTCGGAATAACATTGGGTACTTGGGCATGCAGGGTTAGGCATAACGAGAGTTCCCGGTTGGAGGCTTCCCTTTTCTGCCTGACCCCGGGGGTAACGGGGTCTACAGCCCCAGACTGCACACGCCCCAGGCCAAACCTAGTAGTAGTTGTAGTAGTAGTAGTAGTAGTAGTAGTAGTAGTAGTAGTAGTAGTAGAGTAGTAGTACAACCAGTACTGATGCCAGTCAGCTTTGAAGGGGCTTCCCAACACTCCCCCGAAACCCTTGACACTAGGATTAGGACTCTTACTTACTACAATACCGGGACTTGTCAGGGCAGGGATGACATTGCTGGCAAGCATCGCAAAGCCGGGTGACATAGGAAACTATCGCCTTGAAAGATCGCACCAGCACCTTTGCGGGAACGGCATGCGAGACGAAGCGCTGTGGAGCGAAATGAAGCTGACCTCCTTGGCTTGCATCCTCCTGTCAGACATGTACTGCGGTCACGTACGAAGTGTGCATGAGGCAGCTGACTCACAAGATCGGACGTGCAATGTGTCCTGCATCAAGGAAGCCAAAGCCGACAACTCAGCTTTTGCTGCCGTGCTCTGGGATACATGGGAACATATTCGGCGCAGCATCTGCATGATCCCTCCGACGTACTCCTGCTCGTCGAACTTTTTGCAAGTCAAATCAACTCGATGGGCGCTGCACCTCAATGCACTTTACCAGGGTTCTCTTGCTGCTTTGTTCATTGTCTCCGTACATTGGTACACTACTTACAAAACTGAGTTGTTCAGAAGACTCTCTACTACTTAGACAAGAGCTAAATTAAATTAAATTGCTGCCCTGGGTCCAACACACCAGCAGGTTCTCCTCGGAAAACTGTCGCTTCTCTTGCAGCAGCGAGTGCGCTAGATTTCCAGTGGGCCCACGAATCGGAGCAGAAATTGGAGTGCTGCCTTTACGCACTCCGTTCACACTGGCACCATCCGCAGTGAATCCGACCAGGCGCTCCATCACATCTTGCTTTGTCAAGCCCTGGCCCGCCTCAGACTTTGTCGTGAGGGACAGGAGCACCTGTCCATGTTGACAAGTCCAGGCCACAAAGCGACATAGTTACTTAAAAAAACATGTTAGACCAACACATGCGCTGCAACATTACGCGCCTGCTGACAAAGAACGTCATGGGTTTTACTGGACAGGTGCCGCATCTGCCAAAAAGACGATGTCGGGCAACAGGACTCATCCAGGAAATGCACTCTGATGGCAAAGTAGCCAGTGCCAGAAACACCCTCGTCCACGTTCACACTCAACACAGGAGATGCCTGCACTTGCTGGAGCAGGATGTCGAAGCTGCGATTTGCAGTGCAGCGACAAATCTCACTGAAAAACCGCCGGCCGTTGTGACCGTCTGGCAGATTTGCCTCAACCTGGTCAAAGTCGCCACTTTACTCATATAATTATTGGTCGTTTTGTTTCGCAGATCAAGCTAAATAGGACCATGGACAAATTACCCGCAGCCCAGCTAACTAATCCGCTGGCCTCATAGCATGCCTTCGCCATTGCTTGGTATTCGTAACCAGTCAGCCCCTGCCGCAGAGCACAGTATGCGAAATGAATGGCGTTCTCCTGCTTTGTTTTGCGGCAGAGACTGGCACAAACCAACTTCGGCCAAAATGGAAAAGGAACGCATAGCGAGGAATGGGCATGGCAACATGAACAAAAGTGCTTTCACCCCACAAGCTCCTCCTGCACAGAGATGGAGATTTGCCTCTGAATGCGGATTTTGCCACCGGCATCGACAATGCCCTTCCGCATGAACGCCAATGCTTTGGAATGGTCCGATGTGGCTTTGTGCACATGTCCGTGCACCTTGGCAACTTGGAGCTGGGCTTGATATCAAGACTTTACTGTCTGAACTCACAGACACGCAGACACGCTGCCTAGGCACAGCGTCCCTTGCCTGTACGGTTTTCTCCGCCACTCGAAGCTCAAAGCGTCCGAAGGCCTGGCGGCCATGCAAGGCATGACCTGGGTCTCCGTCTACGTTACGTTATGATAAAGCCATCCAAGCTGGACGAATTAGTTTCCAAAACCTGTTTCCGAATTCCAGAAGAAGCATCCGCTGGAAGCATAGGCTTGGCAGAGACTGCATCCCACCAGCTCCGTGCCATCGCTATCGATCTTGTACCGCAGCCATGTCTCGGACTTGCCGGTTGTTGGGCAGTTGTACTGAGCGAGGCGTCTCATCTCCTTAACCTTCCTCAGTGGCGATGCACAATGCTGCACAAAAAAAATTAATTACACACACCTTCGGGGAGAATACCGAAGGAACAACCGAAACCCGAAGCAGTAGTAGTAGCGAACATTGTTTACTCTGACTCAGAACGAGATGCTTGGTGCAGATGCACTCGTGGCGGCAGCAGCATTTGCAAAACGACTCGTCCTCTGCCGGGTCATCCGATATGGGTGCGGATGAGTCTGATTTCCCGCCCAGCGAAGGCCGCAGCCGATACCGCGAGGAGTGCGGCGTTGTCCTCTGCGGCTCCTCGGGCTCTGACACTTCGCATTGGACAGCCGCCTCTTTTGTGTCCGGCACGGCCACTGCATCGAGGTCCTCGGGCTCTGGCGCTTCGCATTGGACGGCCGCCTCTTTTCTGTCTGGCACGGCCACAACGGCCACAGCATCGGGCAGTTTCAGTGTCTCTTTCACCAAGTTTCTCAGCTTCGGGCAGCATGTTACGAGCTCCAGGTCAACGAAAACCGCCAGCCGCACAGCATGAGACCACCGTGTTCCTGAGGTATCCAAGCCTCTGTCGGTGAGCTGCTTCCGCAGGTCACATGCACTAAGCCGCATGATGTCGTTCAAGCTGATCTCGGCCATGGTTCTTAATTATGAATTTGACAACACTGGAAGCGCTAGGAAGTTGCAGAGGCCAACACTCTGTCTAGTCTGAGATTCGCCTAGTAGCTGGTAGAGTGGAGTGTCTGGGGAGTTTGGCTTGGTATGTCGAAATTTTACACTTTGCTTCTGACCTGTTTTTTTTTTGTTTCCGGCATCCGGGTTTACAGTCTTGCGGGACTTACCAAGCGAGGTCGGGGTTTACAGTCTTCCGGGACTCAGCAGGCGAGGTCGGTTTCAGGCGAGCTCCCAGCTTGGTGGCTTGGCACTTCCATGAGAATTGTCGGTTTGTGCTACTTCTCTGTGATGTCGCTGGGATCTGAGCCGAAAAGACGAAAGCCTCGGAGATTCATTACCCAATTCCCAAAACAACCAATCAAAGTTTCAGGGCTTAGGGATTAGGGTTTAAATTAAGGAGCCTGCGACCCTACAACAATTCTCAGATCCGCTGGTGGAAGAATACATGAATGTCAGATGACTGTAGCGGCACCCTCTACAAATGTGCTAGGACCGTTAATTGAAGGACAAGGATTACTTCGCAGCAGCAACCTCCAGTTTAAGAGTTTCTTTTACTTTTGGCTGTTACGCCGTTGGAATTTTGGAATGGCTTGAAGCTTCCGCATTTTTGGTCGAAGATCTAAGGCCGAGGTTTGGGCTTTGGCCTATGACGACCCTATACATTGCCACACAGTAGCCCGATACAGCCGTAACGCACCTCGTAGCAACCCAACAAGAACGCTACAAAGGGATGCATTTCCAGTTGAGATCTACTAAATAACTATAGTACTACCCCAAACTATCCCAAACCTTCAATTGCACACAACCCAGCAGGTCCTGCTTGGAAGCTGGATGCCAGCCAGCGCGAGCCGGGGGCGGCCAGTCACAGTCGCCTGCATGCGGACCAGAGGGTGTCGGTGGTCAGGGTTTTAGGGTTCAGGTAACCGTATCGTTCGGACTCCTGAAATCTGAAAGGTTTAGGATGTCAGGAGTTGGACTCTGTATCGACGTCGGGCTAAGTGATCTCGATTGCTGTCTCTGAGAACAAATTAATTTAATATTATTTGCTGCCAGTGTCTTTACAGTCGTTTTTCAGATCAACCCCCTGATTTGTGAAAACTCCTAACTCGAGCAAACAGCAACACCCGCCAGGACGAAACCGTGTGCGCCTTACTTCTGGATCATGTAGGGCCCGTACTAGTTACAATAGGGTTTGGGGGCATGTTCACCCCAGTAAATACACGTTATTATTGAAGTATGATAGCAGTTCCAATGATTCGGACCCCTACATTATACAGACGGGCTTGGGTCTAAGGACTAGGATTGAGGGGCCTCCCGAGTTTCGGGGTTTAGGGTTCATGGGGCTTAGAGTTTGGGGTTGATAACCTTGCGGCTTGCAGGATGACTTGTAAGTGCTCGGAGCCCAATGTGCAGAGTGTACTATTTGAAATCAGAGCAATAGTAACCTACTTTATTTATTTATAACAGCCGTACATACCCAGCGTCCCAGGCTCAGCAGTCATGAACTTTTTTTTCCATTCCTGCCAGAGCTCTTAGCTGTCCTCTGGCAGCTCTGGATCCTCAGAGCTGAAGTCTTCGTCCGCCACCAGGGTCTCGTAACGAGAAAGGAGAGCACTGGCGGCGATCTGCAGGGATATACACTTCTCTATACTACCCTTAGAACCATAACAAAAATATTATTTTGAATAATCTCTTGGGTTTTAGATGAACAAAAATACAAAATAATTCCTAAGGAGACCATAGTTCTTTTCCAAGAAACCACAACGCCTAAATCCCGAAGCCCTGCACTTTACCCCAGCAGCCTCCGAGGAAGGAGAAAGGGGAGCAGCAGCACTGCTGCTGCTGGCGCTCTCCTGCCGATCCTGCAGGGATGCACACTTTTCCTTGAAACCACTACCCCTAAATCCCTAAGCCCTGCACTTTACCCCAGAACCTCCGAGCAACGAGACAGGAGAGCAGCAGCTTTGGTGCCGATCCGCTGACGATCCTGCAGGGATACACACTTTTCCAAGAAACCACAACCCCTAAATCCCTAAGCCCTGCACGCTTCTGCAGGGGTTGGTTTTGGGTTTAAGGTTAGGGGTTCCTTCCAGCCTAATTCAAGGCCACAACCCTAACCCCCAGAACCCCCGAACCCTTCATTATAAAGCCAAGCCTCCGTCTGTGGCTTCTGGCTCTCTTTCGCATCCAGGAGCTGCAGCTGCTTTTGCCGATCCTGCAGGGGTATACACTTTTCCTTTAAACCACAAGCCCTAAATATCCCTAAGCCCTGCTTTTTATCCCGCCAGCCTCTGACCTTGTCTTCTGCTTTTTCGCCGCAGGATCTGGCTCCTGCAGGGGTTGGTGGGGTTCGTTCCAGCCTAATTCAAGGGCACAACCCCAACCCCCAGAACCCCCGAAGCCCTCATTATAAAGCCAAGCCTCCGTCTGTGGCCTCTGGCTTTTTTTCGCACCCGGGAGCTGCAGCTGCTTTTGCGGATCCTGCAGGGGCTTACACTTTTCCTTTAAACCACAAGCCCTAAATATCCCTAAGCCCTGCTTTTTATCCCGCCAGCCTCGG